TATTTTTCTCTCACAAAAATAGAGGTTTCATTATAAACACTCACTTGGGGTTTTGGCAGCCAATCTTCCAGAAAACAGCATAAGACCACTGATTAACCCCACAAAGAGTCTTCAAAGCTTCTTTCAACAAGTAACCCATTGCAAAAAAAAATAAAAAAAAAAACACACACACACACACAATGCCCCCAAAAAAACCAGTAAAAATATGTTCTGTGAATATTCTTGAGCGCTACAAATGAAGATTCCAAAGAACCCAATTCAGAAGTGAGACTAACAAAGAGGACCCAAGTGATTTGATTATCTCTTTCCAAGAGAGAGCAAAGTTTTCCCTTTGCCCTTTACTTTAAAAATAAGAAACAAACGCCTTAGCCTAACTGCCTCTGCAAGACCCGCGCCCTGCCTGTTTTGTTCTCAGCTCACTGCTCTTTTTTCTCACTGGATCCAAGTTTACTATTAGCATACTCTTGCAACCCATTCTCAAGAGAATAAAAATAAATAAAAGGGACGCGAAAAAAGAACAGAAAATGGGAGGGAAAATTTCAATCTTCTTTAATTTCCCAGAACAAAAAAACCGAGCACGTTACACTATCCCACAAGCTTTAAGCTCGCAGTTAACCACCAAGACAACAACTTTATCCATTTCAAAACACTGCAAAAAGAAAAAAAAAATAAAGAAAAAAATTGTGTGCTCTTTTTCAGGGATTTTTACGGGTTAAAGAGCTTTGAGTGAAGGATTCGAAATAATCAGAGCATTTTAACTGGTTTTTCAAAGTGGAAAATCAATCTGAGAAGCTCTGTTTGTGCGTGTGTGTGTGTATGTGTGTGTGTGTGTGTGTGTGTGTTTTGTGGGCTGATTCTTGACTGTGGGTTTGCTCCTGAGGCGAGTGTGGGAGAGTGAAGAATGGTGGTATTTTATTTGTGCTGCTTTTCGTATTTTCTCTTTCTTTTGTTTTTTATTTTTTTTTTGTATCAGTTGGGTTGAGTGGGGACGACGAGGCGGTGTGTGCTAAAATGCGCGATGATGATTGGCCAATGAGAGATTAGGTAATGAAAAAAGGCCTGGAGTTTGGGTTTATTTGCAATGGCTGCCACTGGCATGGTGTGGTGGTGTGTGGTGGGGAGTACTATTTTTGTCGGCTTTTTCTCTGTGTGTGTGTGTGTTTTTTTTCCTATTAATAATTATTTTTTTTTTATCTAACTATTTTAAGGTGGAAAGAAAGGGCAATCAGAATTTTGAAACCCTTTGGGACTTGGAGGGAGTATGAACAAATCTTATTGGGTTGATATGAAAAGCTCTAATTATAACTAGTATGGAGTATGACTGCAAACGAGCCGAGCCGATCCGAGTCGAGTCGAGCACTGGTCTTATCGTGCATGATTGGTTTTTTTTATTTTAGTTGCTCGAGCTTGAACTCGAATTATGAGGCTCGAGCTTGACTCGATAAAAAAATATAAGCTTGAGCTTGGCTCGAATTCAAAATGCTCGAGTTCGGTTCGAAAATTTTCAATCAATTTTGTAAAACTACCATTAAGTACATATATTAACATTATAATGCATATATATACAAGAGATATTTTAGTAATCTAACATATATATCGAGCCCCTCGCGAGTCGCTCGACGATGCAAAATATAGGTTCGAACTCGACTCGAGCTCGAGCCGAGCTTTGACTCGAGCGCGCGGGCGAGCAGCTTGCGAGCTGCTCGATTCATGTACAGCACTGTGTGATTCATATAATTTATATTAAGTCTAAAATTATTTTCATACTTTGACTTCCTTATACATGTGTCTAGCTAAATTTTTCGAATCGAGTAATTCAAGTTCGAACTCGTGCTCATTTCCTTAAACTATCACAACTCAAAACTCTAACTGAATTATTTGCGAACACACTCGACTCAAATCGTTTGATAGACAAGTTCGATTAGTTGTTCGAGTTTGACTCGTTTAAGTCATGCTTGAACTTTTACAAGTCGAGTCGAATTATGTTAGCGGACACCTCGATCTGAATAACAGCTACATATTTTGCAGCCTCGAGTTAAGACAATTTCTGGCTACGCCCCTGCTTGGTCGTGCTTGGTTCCTGCTCGCAAGTGTGGGTACGTAAGGGCGGTTCTTGACTCGAGGTTATGGCTTCCTTAGGACGTTTCAATTCGTTTGATCCATCTTTACATAAATTCTCTTTCTCAAAAATATTGAACCGTTTTTCTATTAAAAAACATGCAAAAGCAAACATTCACTATAACTTAACTTAATATATTCACTATAATGAGAAAAAAATATACAGTTAGTTACAACAAAACAGTCACATATATCACTCTTCAATGCATGAGAAAATGGCATGTCGTAATTTTGTTCCTCCCTAAGATTCGATAACTTGACGTTACTCTCGTGTACGGTGAATTAATATGTTGAAGTTTCACAAAATCCCACATTAAATTAACTAGAAATAGCTATTTGCACCACTCTATGAAGATATACTATGTTTTTCACACCGTCAATTAATAAAATAATTTTTTCACCCCACTAAATGCGAAGAATATTCTGCGACAGAGTGACAAAAAAAATTGAGAAAGTGAATTAATATGTTGAAGTTACTCCCGTGTACAGTGAATTAATATGTTGAAGTTTCAGAAAATCCCACATTAAATTAACTAGAAATAGCTATTTGCACAACTCTATGAAGATAGACTATGTTTTTCACACCGTCAATTAATAAGATAATTTTTTCACCCCACTAAGTGCAAAGAATATTCTGCGACAGAGTGACAAAAAAATTGAGAAAGTGCGAAATAGTTATACTATAAAATATCACTACAAAAAAAAAATGATGAAATTCCAACGGAAATATATTTCAAATAATTATTCCAACGGCAATTTCAACGGATATTTCAATACTATTATTTCCGTTGGAATTTTTCAATGGATTCCAACGAAAATATTCCGTTGGAATGGGTTTTCCATTAGAATTTTCGTTGGATTTTGACGATTCCAACGGTGGATTTTCCAACGGGGGTGGAAAAAAAATTCCAACGGAATTTGCATATTCCAACGGAAATTCTTACGGTAAAAAGCCGTTGGAATTATAGCCGTTGGAATCATCAAATTCTATCTAAAATTCCAATGAAAAACACATTCCAACGGAATATTCCCGTTGGAATTTCTGTTGGAACTATTCCAACGGAAGCTATTCCATTGGAATAACCGTTGGAATTTCCATTGGAATATATTACCACTGGATTTTTCGTTGGAATATAACATTTATTTTGTAGTGTATGAGACATACATGTGAAGTTAATTGAGAAAGTGCGAAAGAATGATGCGAAAATTATGCGAAAAATAATGGCGAAGTTAATTGAGCAGGTGCAAAAAACCTATGCGACAAGAATAAAAAGATAATAGAGCAAGTGCGATCTTATTATAGAGTAATTATTCGATAGATAGACAAAGTTAATTGAGCAGTGCGAAATAATTATGTGATAATCTATGCGACATATATGTGACTAATATGCAGATAATTGTGTGAACAGTTCGGTCAATAGCGGGTATATCGCATTTTAGTCGCAAATCAATTTAGTTTAAACAGTTGTTCTTGTAAGCGAATGAACCTAGACATTTATGTGAATCTCTTTTATATTGTTCGTCGCTTGTTTTTCCTATACTAGTCGGATGACTGTCTCTTTCAG